CCATTTTGTTTTAAATAGAAGGAATCCATATTAATATTTTGCGCCCAATAAAAATCGCAGATACTGTTAATTTTCGTTACCTTTTAGATTTCAATAAAGGCTAACCGTATTTACCAGTCACTGCGGAGACATGTATCTGGGATGAGAATTCCTGTCACCAAATAGTTAGTCATACATGTATGAGTTTCTGAACCCGGATTAAGGGCAAAGTGATTATGTATGTCTATTTTAAACACAGCAAAGAAACCATTTAATTAATTAGTACACGCAAATAAAATGCCTTTTAGTGGCAGAGTGAATGAACTTCAGCTGCTACAAGGCAGACATTTGTAGAGTGGGTTTAGGAATAAGATACTACTCGATTAAAGTTGCAGATAACTATGTTTAGTATTTAATCTAGATAAGATTCTTCATTCGATAAGTTGCTTGAACAATTTATTAAGAACTTTTCATGGAGCTTTATGTTTTCATCGTTTGGGAACCGCGAATATCGACAGAAAATATGCAGACTAGCTTTTCTTTTACAAGCTCCACGAGAACTTGTAGCATTGCATACCGTAACCATAACAGTAGTCTTTCTAGTATTTTTTCGTAGCGAACTAACTTACATGTAGGTGGCTGACGTTTCATGAAATCTACAGATTCACTAGGTTGATGTTTTGTTGTTATTTAGCGGAATTTTTTTACCCCTTTTACAAGCGCTGACCAGGTTTCTGCAACCACTTCCGAACTCTGGACTCTCCCTTCCAGTAGCTTCCAAGTGCTTTTCATTCTTTCGATGTCTACCTCAAATGTGTTATTTGGTCTCCTTGTTTTCTTTACGCCTTAACGATTCTAAGTAAGAACTTGCCTCACAGTGCATTCTAATGATTTCTGCAATGTATTTCAAAGAAGAAGAAACTACTAAAAGGGACAGCTGGAAAGGTATCAAAGAAGCGTTAACTTCAATGTGTCAAAAGGCTCTGGGCCTGAAGTAGCGTCATCATAAGGAATGGATCTCTATAGAAACACTGGACAATATCAAAGAAAGGAAGAACAAAAATACAGCAATCAACAGCGGCCAAAAACGAGCAGAGAAATCCAAGCACAAGCTAAGTACACTGAAGCAAACATGCAAGTGAAGAAGAGCATCAAAGACGACAAACAGAAATACGTGGAAGATCTAGCAACGACGGTGGAAAAAGCTGCAAAGGAAGGAAATATGAAACAGCTTTGTGACACAACCAAGAAAGGGAGATAATGTAAACCAGAGAGACCGGTCAAAGACAAAGAAGGCAGGCCAATCCCTGAAATTCAACAACAGGGGAACAGATGGGTGAATTACTTCGAGGGACTCCTGAATAGGCTGGCTCCACTGAACCCACCGGATATGAAAGCAGCACACACAGATCTTCCTATAGATGTCAATCCACCAACGACGGAAGAAATCAGGATGGCCATCAGACAAATCAAGAGCGGGAAAGCAGCAGGACCCGACAACATACCAGCTGAAGCACTGAAGTCAGATATCGAAGAAACTACAGACATGCTTCACTTTCTATTCAAGGTGATTAAGGGGGAGGACCAAATGCTAATGGACTGGAAAAAAGGACACCTCATCACGATTTCAAAAAGAGATCTGAACAAAGGTGAAAACTACAGAGGAATCACACTACTATTAGTACAAGGAAAAGTCTTTGACAGAGTGTTACTGAACCGGACGAAAGACGCAATAGGTGCCCAACTTCCAGATCAACCTCATCAAGTTCATTGATTATGAAAATGAGTTTGATAGTGTAGACAGGAGAACATTATGGAAATTTTTTCGACACTATGGAGTTCCTGAGAAGATTGTCAATACTATCCGGAACTCATACGACAGACTACAATGCAAAGTCATGTATGGAGGACAGCTGACAGATGCATTCCAGTTAGGGACCGGAGTCAGACAAGGCTGTTTACTCTCTCCTTTTTCCTCCTCGTGGTCGATTGGATTATGAGGACCTCGACATCTGAAGGAAAACACGGAATACAATGGACAGCTCAGAATCAATTAGACGATTTGAACTTCACGGATGACCTAGCCCTCCTATCGCATACACACGAACAGATTTAGGTTAAGACAGCCAGTGTGGCAGCAGTCTCTGCATCAGTAGGCCTCAACATATACAAGGGGAAAACCAAGGTCATCAAATACAACACGGAGAACAGCAATCCAATCACTCTTGATGGCGAAACTCTGGAAGATGTAGAAACTTTCACATACCTGGGAAGCATAATCGATGAACAAGAAGGATCAGATGCAGATATAAAGGCAAGGATTGGCAAAGCAAGGGTCGCATTCCTACAATTGAAGAACATACGGGACTCAAAACAACTTTCAACCAATATCAAAGTGAGAATCTTCAATACCAACGTCAAGGTAGTTCTACTGTATGGAGCTGAAACTTGGAGAACTACAAAAACCACAATCAAGAAAGTACAAGTATTTATAAATAGCTGTCTTAGTAAGATACTCAACGTCCATTGGCCAAATACCACCAGCAACAGCCTTCTGTGGGAGAGAATAAATCAGCCTCCAGCTGAAGAAGAAATTAGGAAAAGGCGATGGAACTGGTGACTTCACCCTGCACCATCCTTAAAGCCTTAGACATTCCAAAGGGACATAAGTGTAGAATCCAAACTGCGGTTTGGATTGATGAATAGCCGTCTAGGTACGTTAGACACGCGCCCTTGCCCGTCAAAATCAAAACAAGTAATCGGGTAAATAGCGGTTCTATAATTCATCATAAATTTAAATGTAAATCGTTACCTAAACAAATATTACCACCCGGCTACTCAACCAATAATTGTTCAGTCAATCAAATCTAAACTACGTAAAATAAAGTTGATAAAAGATGTGGGAAAATTACCAAACACAACAAATAAACTCTATTCTATCCTGACTGGATAGATCACACACAAAAGGAGGAGCAAATCAATATGGCTGCCGCCAAGAATAAGTGTCAAGTAAAACAACATGGATACAGTTCGGGAGGAAGCACAAAAACTTAGTGAAGGTGTAATAAAAATAAAAACTATGATAAAATACAAATATTAACAATCCAAACGTAATAAAAAAACTAACAATGTACAAATAAAGGGATCAATAGGAACAAAGTGCAAGTATATACATGGAGGGATTTTCACAAACACACGAGGCATTCAAAACAGATCTTACAATAAGGTTGCGACATTTAGATGCTCCAACCTTCAATAGACCTATCCTTGACCATCAGTCGCACATTCGCAACGCGACTTTCATGAAGCGCGCCAACTGTGGTACTGATTCAAACCATCTACATTCATATCTTATAAATTATCAACCCAGCTATGTAATTTATTACAGTGTATATTGTATCATTTGTATCAATTTGATCTTGCCTGTAAAGTGGCATGCCTCATGTAACAAACTGTTATTTGAGAATAAATTATTATTATTATTATTATTATTATTATTATTATTATTATTATTATTATTATAAATCATAAAACTGCATCACGAGGCAAGCCATAACTTGGAATCCTGAAGGGAAGCGGGAAAGGGGAAGGCCTAAGAACACATTACGTCGGATAATAGAAGCAGATATTAAAAGGATCATTAGGAACTGGAAGCAGCTGGACAGGATTGTCCATGACAGGGTTGGATGGAGAATGCTGGTGAGCGGCCTATGCTCCTTCACGAGGAGTAACAGGATCAAGTAAGTAATATTAATAACAGCCGGGCTCGTTGTATTCTTGTTCTGCCCAGATACTAGGCGGTCCGTAATAAAGTGCCTCGTTGGTGGGCGGGAGTTCTAGGAAATGGCAGCCTGTTCCGCAAAAAGCTATACCGTACTGTAAAAACTTACAACGCATTTGTTTTTGGTGTTTTACGATAAGTAGTGTATATGTGTTGTTTCTAAGTTTACAGGCTGGTTCGTGGGTCATAGTCGGTTAGGAGGTTAGAAAGAAGAGCCCATAAATCGCTCTGTAGAGAAATATTAAATTGTTCTTTAGCCTACGGTGCCATAAAGTTTCAAAAGAGATGTGCTTACATCTATCTGTGTAATCGAGATTCGAGTTACATTCTAGTAGTTGGTGTATGAAACGTCTTTGAACATCTTCTACTTTTATCTTGTCTGTGATATTCATATTAGAGAAGACAAAAGAGCAATATTCAAGGGAGGGCCGTACACATACTTTGTAAAGAGTAAGCTTACTCTCCATTGTGAAACATTTCTCATTATGAAACCAATTAGCCGTCTAGATTTAGAAATAATAGAGGAGGTATGTTCTTCAAAGTTTAGGATTCCTGTGTAATTAATCCCTAAATCGTGTTTGGACTCTACTTTTATTTAAGTGAAGTTGCGGTTAATAGGGATGCTGTCCAAAGTGCATGATCCCGCACTTGTTGAGGTTAAATTGTAATCGCTATTTTTCACTCCAGATAGTTAAGTTGTTGAGGTCATTTTGGATCTGGGATACACTTTCACTTAGTGTCTCAGGATTATAGCTGTTTACTATTTTGTGATCATCAGCATATAAGTATGGTTTCCCAAATTCTATGGTGTTACATATGTCATTTATATACATAAGAAACAAAAGTGGGCCTAATACGCTTCCCTGGATGACTCCACTGGTGATTGGTTTAGGTGGCGAGAGACAGTCGTTGTATTTTACCATCTGTTTACTTTCTGTTAAGAATGAAGCAAACCATGAGTACAGTGGGTTGTTGATTCTGAAGGACTTTAGTTTGACATATATACATATACATATTGTTACCTTGCTTGACTTAATGCTATATTTCCTACTTATACGCTTTTCATTAAGTATATGTGATTGGTCTCAGATGGTTTGTTTAACCCTGTAGCGTAGAAGGTTATTTTTGTTTTCGCGATAACTTCGAAACTCAGCACATTTATCGCTCATTACTTAGATCCATATATTTCCACTGTCAGTCAGAATTTGAAGTATCTAAGTAAATATTTTAACCAACACTAATGACGCGATCAGAAACAAAACTGCCGACAGTTGATCGCATTGTCACAAGTGAGAATGTTTATAATTTCAGTTGTTCTTTCACTTATGACAATTTATGAATGGAAAATCTCTTTTTTCTTCATTATTATGAATAGTAAAGAAATCTAGTTGGAATTATTAGGATGTAGCTGCAACTTAAAGAGGAATACCTTAGAGTTCTTGTTGGACTTGATACTTTACTATTTAACATACCTGACTTTACCACTGATAGATCAAATAATTTAATTTGTGTGTGATTTCCCCCTTAAATGACAAAGTATTCTGTATTACGCCCTTTATTTACCTGCATAAGGCTGCGAATTGTGTACATTGCCGTACCTGTGAATGGTGCCTGTTATCTTTTTTAATAACGGTTCTAGCAAATGTTTCAGGGGTTAATATAGGTGAGATTATAATTTATGGACTCCTTTTGAACGATAACAGAAAGACTTTGAGAATGTCCACCTACATACTATGGCCAAATCAGGGTTATAAACCAATGTAAGGAATTAAGATTAATATTTACATTTGATAGTTAGGGTTAGGAATTAGATTTGTTTTCATCTTAAACTGACATAATTTATAATGCCGAAACTATATTTAACTAAATGGGTGAATTAATTTTGAGCCGAAATTTAAGACCTGTTATCCTAGATCTGATTGGTTCGTCCATAGATTATAGTCTCGCCGCCCAAACTATTCTTGTTTAATATATTCGGGATCTGTATCCAGAGTTAATGGCTGTTTAATTTAGAAAAGTTATGTAGTTGCGATTCAAGCTTCTAATTTCATACGTGGGTTCAAAATGTCTTTAGACTCGGAGATTGTTCGAAAATCCTTACTAGCTAGCAACTAATTAAGCGCTTATTTTTTAATAAGGCGTTTAAAAAACCCCTTAACTGATTAAATTTCAAATTTTTCAGTCAAGGCATCCCACTAAGATGTTCATTGTAGGAACAAATACATAAAACAAAATATACTTGTGTTCTAATATAGTATCTCAGTAAACCTATTGTAGTCCATGCATTTGATTTGCTATGAAATTTGTTGATAATATGTATTGACATGAATTAATCATAGATTTTTCAAGTTTTTCATATACTTGTTCCGCTCTACTATCTTGGAAATGTATAGGACTCTAAGAATAATTATTACCTGCCTATAGTTTTATATTCATGAGTAGATTTTTCACAAACTCGGGAAGTTATAACGTAATTGTTGGTTAGGTTTTTTCTATTCCTCACTCGTTAAAAATGCCGTTAAAATAACTCAGACTTGTAATATTTTTCAAATAAAACCATGTTCTTTAGTTTTCTGTTGTTGGTTTTTACGAAGTCTCTATGACGATATTTTTTCGTTGTTTATCTGGTACTGATATCTTAAAATTATTCAACCCGAGTTTCAGCATAACTAGAACATCGAATTCCCTGCAATCTACGTTGTTTACGTAGTTTTTTAAAATGTTTCTTGCCAATGACTGTAAGTGCAAACTGTTGACTTAGAAAAGTGATTCGCTCAACATTTTGTTCCGTAACTCATGGTCTGGCATTCTGGTTTTCATGAGTTTATGGAATGGAAAAAATACTTGAATTTGTATTATCATTTCAAAGTGAAAGGAAATAATTTATTTGTGATTGACAATTAAATGTGCTAAATAATTATTCTTGCTGTTTCATAAACTTATTGATTTTTGGTTTGTTCAAAGTTGTTCAAAGTTTGTTCAAAGTTTTAAAAGTAATACGACTAAACGTATTATTTAATTTGAATTTGTGAATATCTTTTATAATATAAATTTTATTCTTGTAGTAAGACTCTGACCTTTATTTCTAATTCGTTAAAAACAAGAGATATCGAACGGTGCTTGTAGCAAAGAGCCTTATATCATCTCAAAGAGAGATGTTTGACATTTGAGTCATCATATAAAATCAAATCTTTGTCGAATTACCCATTTATAATGTTACGGAATTTATTTTTTCTCATTGATCTACCTGAAGATAACGATTATGGTAATTTACCAAATGATAATCGTGTTCTGAGACAAATAGTTCATGCATTGTGTTTTAAGTTTATCTTGCCTGTGAAAGTTTGGTTTTATCACTACTGTTTTTTATAACTCTATCAACTAGTTTTTGCTGCTTTCAATTATTTCAGAGTCAACCAACCAGTTTTTGTGTCCTTAATTATTCACCGTATTAACTATTTAGATGCTCAGGCATATATACTATAGGGTCTGCAATTAACCGACGTTGTTAAAAATATTTATTTCATAGTCATTGCCAAATTGTTGTGTGAGCTATGATATTCGTTTCTCTAGGGATTTTATTTGTATTTTTTAAGGAGAGCTATCAAGTGTTTAGTTTTTTCTTAATGTAAATAATTTATGATGCTATGTTTATAGTCAAATGTGTTTCGGACGACAAACGATCTTTGTCTTTTGTTTATTGAACACTGCATTCAATACTTTCGTTAAATTTTATAATCCATTCTGGTCTACCAGAGTAATCATTTGGCTTTTTGCTCGTATCATTATCTTCTCTTGACATATATTGTCTGTCCAACAAACAAACGAATTTAACTATTTAGGGAAACTGTAAAAACCTGTAAAAAACTGCAAGTTTATCAAATGTTAAGTGCCGTTTATAAAAATAACATATTAGAGAAAAAAACTTTTTGAATGAACCGAATGTTTCATTTAGGACTATTAAGGCCGGATGAATGGTGCAAAGTCACGACGACCGTCAACTTCCCGAGTGTTGATAAAAATGTCCAACTTGTGCAGTATATCTATTTCTTTCCATCTGCTAATTTACTATATGAATGATTAATAAGGAAGAAAATCTTGAGGAATCGTCTGTACACACGACTCTAAGAAGACATGTTCGGTTGAGAAAATTATATAAAATTACATGGTGTCTGAAGAACACAACAATGTAAAAACAATGTAAAAAGATGAAGCCAGTCGACAAATGGTGTGTATTTAACAAAATTAAAGGTGATATACTTTAAAATTTAAGAAATGAAATCCTAACGATCTTTGTTCGTGAATTTATTAGATAAGTCGTATAACGTAAATACTTTTATTTAGTCCTTCAGTTGGTACCAATTGTTCTATAGTTTGCGTTTTACTTCAACTATTTTTTAGGCAGATTGTTACAGTAGTTTTTACGTAAAGGTAATAATTTTATTAATTTTAACTGGAAAATTAAATCTCTGAAAAAACCTAAAAAGTATTCTTGATAATGATCATAATCATTTTTAGACAAAAGTAAATGTTTAATCAACAAAGTAAGGTAAAAAAATAGGGGGTCGGCAAACAATAGATAAAAGATGGTTTGTATGGTTACTGTATAGTATTTCTAACGACAACTAAGTTTCATGTTCTTTTATTCATTTTCTGTCTTATCTTTAGTAATTGAATCATTCACCAGACACTTGGGCATAAGTTATACCTTAAGTATCGGTTGCCCAGACTGAAGTGGGCTTAGTGGGGTTCTAACTTGGGACTTAGTGCATGAAAGTTGGACGCCTTAACCACTCATCCACAGCTTCACTATCTTATCTATACACCTAAGCAGTTTATGTCACGGAAGACTGGATGGAGAATCTTGAAAAATGATCAGTTCGAGTTAAATAACTTTATTTCTCCCTCTCTGTTTCTATATGATGTATCTATGTGATTTATAGTCGGTTGAAAATTCAAACAAATAATTCAGTTTTTGATTTTCTCAACAACGATAAGCAAGTGCATGAAATGAAAATATGCTATTTGCGTAAGGGAATTAAACAATTGACAAAAATGATAATGATTATGCGTACCCATAAAATTCAGTATGAAAGGATACAGTTAAATAAAACTTTGCAGGTCTAGTTATTCAAAAGCAACGCTAAAGATCATTGTATTGCTGTTATTGCTTGTTAAAATAAGACGTTTTCTGTACATCATCATTTGCTGTTCCTTTTTTAATAGGTTAGGTAGGTTCGTTGATAGATGAGCTGTTGTAGTAAAAAGTTTTGCTGGTGTTGAAATGTGGTTATTAACTAACATATTTCATGTAGACTATTGTCAAGAGGAAACTAGTTATAAAGTGACAAATTTGTGTTCATTCACGTATAGAACAAAGGTGAATTGGGTGATCAAAGCATTAATTTACAGGCTGAAATACTGTTCCATCGCTTCTTTGGTTTAAGGATTATTTCCTTGCAGTAAATGTATATGATTTAAAGCTGATTACATAAATGGATCATTGTTAATGTTTTTATATATATAGGATGTGTTGATTATAGACAACTACCACGTACACTGATGCACAGTGTTTCATGGAGTATAAATATATGATGAATGAAAACTGGGGGCGACCAAAGAAAGATGTTGGACCAATACATGAAATCATCATCTGTTGAATTGGTCTGTATTTTCAGATATACTGGTAGATAGACTACCAGATTGAAGTATTTTTGATTATCATGACCAGTAGTCGGAAACGTTTGATGATATGGCTTAAAACCATTCACAACGACTTAACTTGTCTTTCTATGAATCTTGAGCTTCAATACCGCTCCATACTTTTTGAACTGTATCGTTGAAAATTAATTGTTTCTTACCATAATCGAAGCTACTGTCGTTTCAACTCTTACTACTTATTTTGTTGTTGTACTAATGGTGCATGACAGGTTAGGTTAATCTGCATTCTTGCCTAGCCCCTATAATGAATATATGACTGACTACACCAGATAAATCAGATGATTAACTTGTTTCGTTTGGAAATACAGTTCAATCATAAAATCTGTTTGATAATCTTTACAAACAAACACTGATAGCATAACTGTACATCCGGCTGTGAGCTATTCTTATTTTTTCATGATTAAGATAGTGATGTTGTTTGGCTGGCAAAAGTGAAGTGAGATGGAGTGCTATATACCCTGTACTAGTCTCCTTGTTTCACTCACATAATGTCATAGTATGAGGTTATTGTTTTCTATGTCAGGTATTCACTATGATAAATATTATCACTACATCTTAACCGTCATAG